TGGCATCGCTACTAGTAACAAGAAGCTACTAGGGGCTCCTGGCCGTAGTACTAGGGGCAAGGACGCTACTAGGGGCTCCTGGCCTTACTGCTTGGAGCAAGGACGCTACTAGGAGCAAAGAGCATCGCTACGAGGAGCGAGGACGCTACTAGGGGCTGGACGACATGTGTCGACCCGCTCGACCAACGGTGCCACACCGCTCAGGCCACACCGTGCTCCTTTGGGCGATCCAAGGGAAAGAGGTAGCAAGGTGTCGCTGTAAGGGGAAGACGTGTTTGGAAACTGAGACTGGTGGACTATGATGGACTGAATGGACTAAATATGATGAGCCACTAATAGCCACTACATGGAATCAAACCGTTTGATGTGAAGGTAACAAGAAGAGGCGTGTGCCATCTACAGTGATGCTTTCGGTATGATGTGAACGGAGAGAATCAGCGCCAAAACAGAACAGAGCTCTATTGATGTCAGCGGACCAAAGTTCTCGTTTGCCGCCACGAGACCTTGAGCATGGTCCTTCGCCATCGGCAACTTCCTGCGATGCGGAAAGATGGCTTTATCCCATGGGAGGTGGACAGGGCCTTTCTGGGTCAAACACCCAATAATGATCATGCTTAAGTGGCCGATTGGCCTATTAGCCTTTTTGATGCATGATGATGGTGTATGCAAGCAGATCTATGGCATGTTCAGTCTGTCAGCAAGGGTCAACTTTCTGCTAACAAGATATGGAGGAGCTATTTGAGGTTTTATAAGCTCTATCTATTTATATAATGTATATATATATATTAAGATGTCAATCCAGGATCAGGAGTTTGCAGGTTGTGGCAATTCGCTGAAGGGACATCACACACACACCATGCTGTTCCACGCCCTGTGAGTGAAAGACGCAAGATGCCCTGCTGGCAAGCTGCATTTGTCAGGCAGTGCTGCAGTGTGATGAGCTTCAGGGCCGCTATTGCAGCAAGGACTTGGTTGAAGTGATCGAGTGGCCTGGAAACCCGGACAGGTGGCAATGAGATTGGCAATGTGGAAAGAGAATTTGCAAATGTGTGCAAATGAAACTTGAACAGACGTGAATCCCCTCCAAGCACGCACCTCCGGCTACAGCGGTGTTGAGGTCTCACAATAAGGACAAGCAGCGCCGCTTTGAGATGGCCTTAAACCTTGATGACAAGGGAGGCCACCCTTGGCACGTGTCCCTGTTTCAGACTGGGAGAGGTTGATGATGTGAACATCTCCCAGTCGGCTGATTGCTGTCGCTGTAGGCATATGGGTGAGAGCTACAGGCAGGCATACCAATGGATGTGATGCAGCAGACTCAGCGTGAGCCATGAGCCATACCAATGCGTCCGAAAGACGGAGAGCCCGTCCCAGCTGATCGAAATCCCATTTTTGTGTGGGTTCAGTTGAAAAGATGCGGGATTTATACGATTTACCAATAGGTTGGAACAGGGGCTTCAGACCACTGAGGGCACGATTCTGCGCCGTTTGGCCGAACAAAGCAAGGCTTAGCGACCTGAGAAGGATTCTAAAGGGTCCCCATAGCCGATCTCATATCTCCGGTAATGCACACGTTGGAGCAGACAAGCCTATAGTTGCCTTTGCTTTTCAGCGAAGTCCATGAGGCAAGTCAGCTTCCAGATGGTGTCACGGAGGCGACACGCGTCCGAGGCTCAGGCGGTTCGGCCCATACCGGCAGTGCGAAGGAATCAAAATCCAACGAGAGCCGAGCGCAGCATAGCAAAGTGGGTAGGTAAATTTGTTGATTCAGAACTCACTGTGAGAAGCTACTTGAAGCAAGTTATCAACGCAGCTTATCAAAGGGAGTCTTACTGTATTTGTTGGCATTTCACTGTCATCACTCATCACCACAGCTCAGTAAAAGAATTGATCTGCCAGACCTGCTTGGAATGACAATCTTTCCTGAGCATAAAGATCATTAGAGGCTAAGTGGCAGTGCATGTCAACCATAATGCTGGGGGTGGGGTGGGGGTGGGGTGAGTGTTTTTGGTACGTAAATAGTAGTTGATGGTTTTTCAAGCAGGTTGCTCATGGTGTTGGTTCCCTCATGTCACGCTCAGTCGGAGTCTGACCAGAACGCAATGGAAGCAGCGAGGAGGCCAGGGTTCCCTTTTTGGGGAGCCAAAAGACTCGCAGCTTTGCAGAACAATCAGTTGGGAAAGGTTGGATATGTGGATGTTGGGAAGGTTGACAGTTTCAGCATGGGCTATTGGAATGTGGATGGCTTCGACTGGCGTAGGTACTCAGGGCCTGGCTCTGTCCGAGAGCATCGTGAACGGGGTTATCCCAGGCCCGGGACTTCAGTTGGGTGAAAACGGTCTCAGGCGCCATAGAGAGTGATCCTGTAAACTGACCAGTACTAGGAAAAACAACAATGATTTGCAAGTGGGAAAGCCGCCAGGCCGCCATTTTGGGATGCCCCTTCTCATGTTCACACCCCCAAAACCGCTCGAAGCGAGGCACGACTTCGGTCGGGGACCTCCACGACCCGTGGCCCGGCCGTTGGACGCGGCGCCCCCGAAGCCG